CAGAGCTATTTGAGGAACACTTTGAGGAAAGTGTTGGATACAGCAGAAAAAAAAAACCGTGGCTTTAGTCCGTAAGCGAACTATACCAACCAAGTGACTGCCGCTTGTCGGCGAAGTTAGTGCCACCTTTAGCGGATAGAGGGTGTCATGTGGTCTGTGCAAGTGTTAATTTTGGTTTTCTAGACCGGAGCTGCTACTTCTCCATTCATGTAGCTCCTCAATTGTCCTCACGAGGCTGAGTATAGCAGACCACAAACTTGCAAAATGGCTCGGATACATCAATGACACTTTCGTGGTTTGGCCACATGGAGTAGCAACATTACAGCAATTTCATCATCATCCCAACAGCATTAGACCTACCATCAAATTAACAATGGAAGTTGAAGCTAATGATACTCTTCCATTTTTGGACATTTTGGTCATAAGGAGGGGTACAAAATTGGCCACATTAAGTGTACCGGAAACCTACTCATACTGGTCATCATCTGCACTTCAAGTCCAACCGACCCACATCACATAAAGGGGGGGGGGGGTCATTCATAGTTTTGTCAGCTGAGGCAAGATCATGTCAGGATCATAAGGATTTCAATAACGGAATTAAGAACATAAGACATGATCTGATGCTTAATGAATACCCAAAAGAATTCATCTACTCCATAATGAAGCCATCAACAAGTAATCATCCTTCTTCACATACAACATACCACAGCACTGTCATTATCTCATGCATTAGGGGTATTTCCAAGGAATTCAGATGTACTCTGAATAAATTCAATCTCAGGATCATTTTCAAAACTGAACATACACTCTGTGGGATACTGACGAAAACTGGACCAGTTGGAGATGCCCAGCATTCCATGTGACTGTGGCAGATGTTGCATCAGCGAAACAAGCAGACCTTTAGAAGTACGCATTAAGGAGCACAAATATAATCTGACACAGGGTCTGCTTGAGAAAAAAAATTAGCCCAACATGCATACGGGGAAGGCCACAAAATATGTTGGAATGAAGGAAAGGTCTTGCAGACTGAACCAAATTCCAGTAATCCGCCCACATCTCTGATAGACCATCCAATCAGTAAACCCAGTGTGGATATCTCTCCCATCTGAACAACAATTATCACAGCAGAAGTCAGATACTACAACTCTATTTAGTATAGACTGAGTGGGAAAATCCACATCTTTGTGTTGATATCGTAAGGAGAATTTGTCTCCAGAGACAATTTCTATTCTGATAATTCTCTGGTGCAAGGCCTCACACATGTGGAGATTCTAATATTTTAATGTTTTGTCTTAGCTCTCGCAGATTGTTTGTGCTGTGCTCAGCTTGTGTACCTTATCTGGTGTTGGTACTAATATCCAGAGATAGCGACCAGCTCCATCGACATCATTAACCACTTGACCATTATGTTCGGTCTAATATACATTACTTCAATCTTCTTAGATAACAATGAAAATATCTTTTACAAGAAACATTAAAGCACCTCACACATAAGGAATTTAAGTGAGGAGACTCAGTGAGTCTGTGACTACTGTAGATATCTTGGCTGTGATAGCAGTGTAAATTATGTACGTAATAACACGCCATGCAAGCAGTCAGCAAATATATTCTGACTGCGGTATAAACTGAAGACTCTACTTGCTGAGATTATTTTGTCTGTCAACTGAAGAAAAAGTTCCAATATATTTAGGGACATTTAATGATCAGTGCTTACAAATCATTTTAGGTACTTGCCAAAATGTTAAACGTTTCACGTGGGTTGGCATTCACCGCCATAGACTGTGCAGTGTGCAGTGAATTGCAAGCCCAACATTTTCTTTTCTCAGAATACTGTGAGCTCAAGAACAGTGAATGAACATGAACAATGCATTCATCCTTCAATAAACAGACACATGAAGAAAAATCATACAGGTATCTACAAGAAGACCCGCGATGGTGTCTACTTTGACGTAGTGGAGGGGCTTGCGTGGTCAAATGACCCTGAGAGCTATGTCGACGGCAGCATAGCTACTGGTAGGGCCACCCATGCTGGACAGGCCGAAGGGGATGACCCAGACTAAAAGAGATACCCTCGTCCTCGGGGGGGATTTGGGCGAGAGGCTCACAACCTTTCACCATAAAAAAATACAAATGTCTTGAAGCCTGGAATGAAGCCTCGGAAACCTCAACAGAATGGAAGACGACAATTGACAAAGAATATGGACTACTTACTAGGTACATGGAATGTGAAAACCCTCAATAAACCGGGTGCCATGAAATCGGTACTAGAACAGATAGATAAGTACAATATGAAAATCACAGCCATACAGAAAATTAGATGGCTGCATAAAGGAATCATGGACTTAAAGAAACATACTGTATGTTACAATGTTAAGCAGAAGGCAATAAGGAACTTGGTGTAGCCTTCGTAATATAACGAGAATTTAAAAGCGCAATAATAGACTTTAAACCAATAAGTGAAAGAATTTGCACTTTGAGAATCAGAACAAAATTTTTCAATATGATGATGAACGTGCACACACCTACAGAAGAAAAAGAAGAGGAGGTCAAAGACTATTTCTATCAACAAATGGAAGAGACATATGATTCAATACCAAGTAATGACATAAAGGTTATTTTAGGGGATCTTAATGCCAAAATAGGTAAAGAGAAGGAATACAGAGGAGTAATTGGGACAGAAAATTTACATGATACAACCAACCATAATGGAATAAAATTAATAGATTTTGCAGAAAGTAAGAACTTGATCATCAGCTCTACATACTTCCCACACAAAAATTTACACAAAAGAACATGGGCAGCACTGGATGGGGTAACATTCACTCAAATAGATCATGTCCTCATAAAGAAACAATTTGCAACGAATATCCTGGACGTAAGAACATTAAGAGGAGCCAACTGTGATATTGATCATTACTTAGTACAGGTTAAATATAGATGTAAAATGAGTTGTCAAAGATCTAAGCAGTATGAGAAATGTAAGAAATTTAATATTGACAAGATTACAGAGAGTGATAAGAGAGAAGCATTTCAAAATAAAATTAAACAAATCAATGACAATAGAGCAAACAAAGAAGTAATGGTAGAAGTGATATGGATAGATTTTAAAACTGCAATAAATACAAAAGCCAAGAGGACTCGGGGATATCAAGAGAAACAGGATAATAGAGAATGGTTCGACGAGGAATGTAGGGAGAGTATAAACTTCAAGAATAAGAAATATATGGAAAGACCAACAAGAGCAAGAAATTAGGCGTATAAAGCAACAAGGAAAGCAGACAAGATTTGCAGGAAAAAGAAATGGGCCTTTCTAAATGAGCAATTACTGCAAATGGAAGAAGACTTCAAAAATAACAAAACAAAAAATGCCTTTGGTCGAATCAAATATATGAAAGAAGGTTTCAAACCAAAAACAGAATTATCCGAGACAAGAAAGGGCTTCTAATAAATAATAAAACAGAGATTATGAATACATGGAAAGAAAATACAGACGATGGGGAAGGGGAAGAGGAAGAGAAAATAGAGCCCCCAACAAAGGAAGAAGTGGAAGAAGCATTAAAGGAACAAGAACTAAATAAAGCACCAGGAGGAGACAACATACCAGCAGAATTATTGATGGCAGGAGGTCAAGAAGGAATAATAGTATTCCACAGAATTATAAATAAAGTGTGGGAAGGAGAAAAGATTGGGGAAAGAGCATTATATGTCCCATATTTAAAAAAGGGGATAAATTAACATATAGTAACTATAGAGGTAGATGATTACTACTGACAGCATATAAAATTTTAACAAGGATACTAAAAAAGAGACTGGATCCATATATAGAAAAAAAAAATAATAGAATATCAATCAGGATTTCGACCCAATAGGTCACCAATAGACAATTTATTCACCCTGAGACAAATAACAGAGAAATGCTGGGAATTTAATACAGATACTTATCTATGCTTCACAGATTTTAAACAAGCATATGATACAATAATAAGGAAGAAATTAAGGATGATTATGTCCACTTTTGGTATTCCAACAAAATTAAGTAGAATAATTAATTTTCATTTCATGCATCCTGTTGTGTTACAATATACAACTCTTTTATTAACCGTCAAAACACATCAAATATTTGTTGTTTTGACTGTTAATAAAAGAGTTGTATAGAATAATTAACTTAACCATGACAGAAACAATCAATCAAGTTAAAATCCAGAACCAGTTAACGGAATGTTTTAAGACAAATCAAGGTTAAAACAGGGAGATAGTTTGGCACCATCACTATTTAATTTGGTACTGGAATATATGGTGAGGAAATGTAACGTAGACACAAGGAACTCAATAGCGTATAAACAAACGCAAATAATGGCATACGCGGATGATATTATTATAGTATCGAGATCCCTAAGAGCAATGAAGGAGACACATAAAGAAATAAAAACCATAGCAAAAACAACTGGCTTAGAGGTGAATGTAAATAAAACTAAAATGCTGATCCACTCTAGAAGGAATCCAAGGCAAACTGGAGAAATTAACATGGAAGGGGACGGGATAGAAATAGTTGAAGACTTCATATATTTAGGATCGAAATTCCACAAAGATGGAGAGGAAAATCATGAAATAAGAAGAAGAATAACACTAGCGAATAATGCATATTTCTTGTTACTATCAGTTTTTAGATCAAATGATATACACCGAGCGATTAAAACAAAAATATATAAAACAATGATAAGACCGGTGCTTTATTATGGATGGGAGGGTTGGAAGCTAAACAAGAAATAGGAATCAGTCATCAGTTCATTTGAGAGGAAAATTGTAACATGAATTTAGACCAATAAAAGAGAATGGGATATGGAGAATAATATATAATAGAGTTATACAAATTATATAAGGAGCCAGAGATCTCAGTGACGATAAAGCTTAAAAGACTGCAATGGGCTGGGCATGTACAGAGAATGGACAAGGAGCGTATCCCAAATAAAATATTATAAAGTACAATAGGTGGTAGGAGACGCGCTGGGAAACCAAGAACTAGATGGATTGATGCAGTGGAAGAAGATGCGAAGAAGCGAATGGGTGTAAGGAACTGGAAGAGAGCAGCGCAGGACAGAGAGGAATGGAGGGGCTTGATAAGGGGGGCCAAGGTCCGACATCGGGCTGTTGCGCCATAGAAGAGGATGTACAAGAAGAAAATGCTACAACACATACTGCTGAAGACTATACGGAAACCCGCCCTCATCTGGGTGGGGGGGAAAGAATGACCGATCAAAAATTCTACAAGTGTTACAGTGATTTTTACTTCTGGGGATATTTTATGGGAAAAGTGTGCAAGAATAGTTTTCCAGAATGAAATTACTTGTGCAATGTCCTCAAGTGCCAACTGCCAAAGATGAACTTCAAAACGTGGGACAGAACTTGTTTATGAAATCTAAGGCATGTCACAAAGCAGAAGGGGGGTCACTTCCTCAGTTCTTCTGAAATATAATAACTGTGTGCTGCCTTTTTAGAGCATTCAATTACAAAGTTAGGCCGATGTCTGTGGTGCTCACAGCTAACAATTCTGCTGTTGCCTCTATGGCAGCGCAATAAATTATATAGCTCAATAAAGCAAAAAGTAAGTTGCCATCTCACCAAACATTGTGAATAATACTACAGGTTGTCAAATTAAAATCTTCAGCGCTGACCATATTTGAGTTTTGTGACCTGGATATTATATAAATATACGAGTATTCTGTTTAGTGACACTCAAAGCAGATATTTATATTTTCTTATCACTTCTTACATAAAATAGCTCTTTTCATTCAGTGATATTAAGGCTGTTATTATATTTACTGCACAAAACCTGGACTGTGAATGAACATAAGGATAAATGTATTAATATGTATTACAAAACTTAATTTTCAGATACGATTTTCCTTCCTTATTTTTTGTAGAAATACATTCTCTTAGGAAAATGTTTTCTTTCTTACCTCATCAAATGTTTCTGTTCCATATGAGACAGTCCCAAGATGTAGTTTCTTAAAAACCATTTCATTTTGTGTCAAAGTGCCTGTTTTATCACTTAAAAGATATGAAATGCGGCCCAATTCTTCAGGAATTGTTGTAGAACGCACAACAGTTCCAGTTATTTCTTTATCACGCTGAATAGACCATGAGTAAAATCCTTTCCCCATATCCAGGTTCACCCGTAAGCTGTGAAAAGAATTTTAGTTCAATAATCTACTGACATAATGCTACAGAGCTTTTCTTCAAAAGGGGGGAAGGTGATCACATGATGAGTGACTTATTTTCACCCAAATAAAACAAAAACATATTTGTTACATCAAAGTAACTGCTTAGCAATACAAACAATGTTCAAGTATGGGTATAACTCTAATCTACAAATACTTTAAAGCCTATCTTAACTTTTAATGTTAATCACATACAAGTATCATTGGATAGTAAAGTAAACAAGTCAAAAGCACTACTAGCATAAAAAGGGTTAGAATTTATACACTGAATGACTGATAAATACCTGATAGGTATAATATATGAGAACAGCAGCACAAATCGAAACATGTATCTGTACCATGGACCACTAAATCCTTTGAGACACATCATAACCATAGCCAGTCCCAGAACAGCACCAAATAAAACCTGTCAAAGAAAACATGCAAACATTACAAGTCTTAAGTTCAAAGTACCACTAAACAACATGGTTTCATGTATCTATTAACTTTCATTCAGAGCGGCCTCCGTAGTCTAGGGGTAATGTTCCCACCTCATGACTCAAGGTATGTGGGTTCAAACCCGGCAGAGGTTGTGGAATTTTTAAGGAAAGAAAAGTTCAGGAAACAAGTCCTCCGGGAGGGACTTTAAGCCGTGGGTCCCGTGTCGCAGATTTACGGCACGTAAAAGATCCTCATGTCTCTAGGAGACCTCTGAGCAAAATTAGGCAAAATGTTTCCCGCCCAAGTAGTTTCCAATGCCTCCGGTAGATGGGGAAGTTATCAGTTACTAATGCCAGTAGAGGGCCGACCTCGCTGGCAGAAAGGCGAGAATTATCGGACACCACTGCCAGTAGAAGGCCAACCTTGCTGGCAGAAAGAGGAGATAGCAGGCACCAGTATTGTAGGGTATGGCAACAGTAGAAATTAAAGGGGGACATACAACAGACTATTAGTTGTGGTGCATGGGGAAACCCACCTCCTCTATACTGAATAACTGAACTTTGATTCAGACAGTAGTCATGGGAAGAGGCTGAAACATGTCATCAACTTGTCCAAGGACAGAATAAATTTACAACATACATTTATATTATTTGTTTCAGCTTTTCTACCCTTTCAAAAATTGATGCTGATTTGTTGGCAGTGCTGTTTCAACTATTTTCTGCCCAAGTCATTCTAAGCGAAGTATTAAAATTCAACATACAACAGTAAGTGACATGGACATCACTATTATTTTTTAAGAATGACTTTGAGGTGTAATTTATACAAATTGTAATATATTAATAAGAGGGCCGTGTATTAGTAACAGAAATAAGTGACTGGTTGTACAGACGATGGAAATCTACATATTTAATACAGCACACACTAGTCAAACTCACTGGCAATTAATTTATATTAGGATTATGGTCTTTTGAAAAGTGACATCACGTAATCTGCTGCACAACTACCAACATCTTGGAGGAATCTACTGTCACCAACTTCAGGGCAGAAGCTATGTCATGAAGATGGAGGCAGGAAATTCCTTCATAACATTAGTACCTAGCAAACTACTCTACCAAAAAACGACAGACTTATTGTAGCTATTAAATCTAGTTATTCTAAGAGATGAAAAAATAGGTGTTTTGTCCACTTCCATGTTCAGTGACTGAATGAATGGCCATCTGCCCTTCAGTCCTCTTTATCAATGTAGCAAATGTCCTATGTCCAACATACAGCATCAGGTTTTTGCATTTCCCCATGTTCATCACAAAACTGCCATGTGCTGGTGGTTTATGCATACAGTGGAACCTCGCTTAACGAGCATAATTCGTTCCAGAATCTTACTCATAATGAAAACAATTTTTCCCACATAAATTAATGTAAAATACGATAATGCATTCCATGCCAAAATAAAATATTCAAAAATTTTATGTATAATGTTTATTCAAAGAAAATTATATATACATTGTTAATGAGCATGAATCATCTTCATCTTTTCTTCTATGCGGAATGAACCAACCTGGAATGCGAATTCGATTTGCAGAAAAAAAAATAGAAATAATTAGTTTATTATTTATGATACATATCTAATTCTTTTTTTATTAGAAAGCTGCCTAGAGACATTTGTTTTTGTCGACGCTTCAAAATTTGGTGAAAATGTGACACATCATTATCACTAAATAAATTTGTAGCATGCATAGCCACTGCCTTATTAGGATGATGCTTCTCAATGTATGATGCAACAGTTTCCCATGCTTTCAGCATTTCTCTTATTGCGCCAGAAGATTGTTGCTTTGCTGTTACCTCCTCCTCCTCCTCTGACAAACTCTCCTCCACAACTACGTGTTGTGAAACACAATGCAACTCCATAAGCTCTTCAGTGGTGAGCTCTTGGCTGTGCTCTTCCATAAGCTCATCAATATCACTGTTACCCACCTCCAGCCCCATGATCTTGGCCAAAGACACAATCTCGTTGACTACAGGCTCCACAGGTATTATCTCGAACATCTCAAAGTCACATTCGACAACGCTTTCCGGCCAAAGCTTCTTCCAAGCAGAAGTGAGGGTTCTCTTGGTAACCCCCTTCTCACGCCTTTTCGATCATCTTGAGGCAGGCAAAGATGTGGAAGTGATATTTCCAAAATTCTCTAAGTGTGAGATTGGTCCCTTCAGTCACCTCAAAACAACGCTTGAACAGTGCTTTAGTGTACAGCTTCTTAAAGTTAGAAATAACTTGCTGGCCCATAGGCTGGAGTAATGGAGTGGTGTTGGGCGGCAGAAACTGGATCTTGATGGATTTAAATTCAAGGTCATCTTGTAGGTCTGGAGGATGGGCAGGAGCGTTGTCCATAACAAGCAAGAGATGGAGTGGCAGATTCAT